GCAATCCCTTTTCCTTTTAAACGAGCCTTGTGTTTATAGTAGTAATCTTGGGGGGTGGACTCATTTAAAGTAATGTAATTGTTTCTGTCAAACACAGCACATCTAGGTTATGGTCTGTTATCATATCATTAACAAAAAGTGCTTTTGAAGAAAGGGATCGAATATTCAGCAACCCGAGCTTAATCATTTGTTCATCTGCATTATATTAATTTTGTATTTGTTTGGGAGTTTTTTGTATTTCCTAGATCGGGGAACAGACACAGTCTCTATTAGATAACATCTAGGTGAAAGAGTCTCTATGTGATGGGATTTATCTGACCTCAGTGACGTGAGACAGCTAGCAGACGGTCAGTTTAGCCAGTCTGTCTGCATCCTGACCTGAGCCCCAGATTGTCATGTTTGGGCTCTAAGACTATATGCCATATTACTAGAAAGAAGAGCAGCACTATCCCAGGAGGGATGAATACCATCTCTTTTCAACAGGTCAGGTCTGCCCCAAAAACTTTTCCAATTGTCTATGAATTCTATATTATTTTGCGGACTCCACTTCGACAACCACCATTGAGTGAGGACAGTCTACTAACTATCTCATCACTCCTGCGAACAGGAAAGGGCCAGAGCAAATTACAGTGGCTAACATCGTACTTGCAAGTTCACACACCTCTTTATTGTTAATTTTAGTGATCTTCGACTGGCGAAGTCGAACATCATTAATGCCGACGTGAATAATAATCTTAGAGAATTTACGATCAGCATTAGCCAGCACTTTTAAATTTGCTTTGATGTCAGGCGCTCTGGCTCCCGGCAAACATGTGACTATGGTGGCTGGTGTCTCTATTTTCACGTTCTGTGTAATAGAATCGCCAATAACTAGGGCACATTCAACAGGGTTCTCAGTGGGTGTTTCACTGAGTGGGAAGAACCGGTTTAATGTTGTAATCGGAACGGAAGAGCGGTGTTTTGTCCCACGACTACAGCGTCTCACGGTCACCCAATTGCCCTGCTGCGCGGGCTCTACAGCCGAAACCGAACAATGTACAGTGTTCACTAAGCTAGGCGCATCCAAAGCAGTATCTAAAGCCCTTGTACTCTTACTCTCCTCGATTAACGTTTGGATGCGTGTCTCTAGTTCTGAAATCTTCTCCATCAGCCTGACTGTCTACCTGCATTTATCACATGTAAATCCTATATTGCTGACAGAGAAGGCTATACTATACATGTGACATGAAGTCCAAGTGACAATAACAGGAGAAGACATTACTCACCGTGCTTGTAGACTGATCCTATACTTACACTCACCGTGTTTGTTGACTGGTCCTATACTTACCACAGTTATTTGATGGTTTCGTAAAATGCGCTAGCGCGCGCAAGACATAAATAAATAAATAAAGACGGCAGGCACGGATGGTTCGAGACAAAAATAAATAAACAAATAAAGACTGCAGGCACAGATGGCGAGAGAGAAGAAAATAATAATAAACAAATAAATAAATACGGCAGGCACGGATGGCGCGAGCGTGCGTGCGAGAAAAATAAATAAATAAAGACGACAGGCACGGATGGCGCATTAACAGGCTAGCGAGTTACTTGTGTGTTGTGCAGGCTAGTGAAATTACTAGTGTGTTGTTGTAACGTACGGACAGAGGCGGTCGGATCCATGTGCAGCACTTTATTATAACTTGAACATAAACGAGGCAAACAAATAAACAAGGGCAATCCAATAACTCGTGGTATAAACAGGCATAGGTCGAGGCAGGCAGCACAGGTTCGCAAACAGTCCAGGATACAGGCAGAGGTCGAGAGTCCAGGGAAACACGGAGAAACAGAACAGGGAATAACGCTCAGAAATGCACGCTTACAGTGTAACAAGACTTCGCCCCGGACAAAGGAGAAACACAGGTTTAAATCAGGAACTCAATAACCAATAATGAAACACAGCTGAACATAATAAAACATAATGAGTCCATGAGGAAAACATAACACAATGAGAGAGTGCCCTCCAGTGGCTCTCGAGGGCACTACAGCTGCCGATCGTCACATAACCCCCCCTCTAAGGAGCGGCTTCCAGACGCTCCTAAGAGCTCTGGAGGGAGGTCAACGGGGGCTGGGATGGAGGGCCAGGCCCGTGGAGAGGCAGGAGGTCAGCCCCATGGAGAGACCTGGGGCCTGGAGACCAGAGCAGGGCAAGAGACCACGGGGAAGCACGCGTCGAAGACAACCAGGGTGGAACACACTTAACAGGAGACCAGAGTTGAACACACTTGGAAGGGTACCAGGACGGAGCAGACTCAGACGGAGACGAGGCCGGAGCAGACTGAGGCAAAGGCCAGGGCGGAGCAGGATTAGGCGAAGGCCAGGATGGTGAAGCCCCTGCAGACAACCATGGCGGCGCAGCCTTCATGGTCTCCTCACCGGACCCTTGCCCCCCCCCCAAAAAAATACTTGGGGAAATCCACGGGTTCAGGAAAGCCCTCCCGGAGCTTGAAGGGCGCAGGCAGGGCGAGGCGCAGAGGCGGGGCCGGCAGGGCGAGGCGTCTGGGAACACCCACCGGAGCCTGGCAAACCAAACGAGTCCTCCTTCTCCTCCTGCGACGGCGAGTCACTGGGCTTGATACTCTCCCTTGGCTAGATTCACTCACTTGGTTTATATGTTACGTGAGTGTTGTAGCCTGTTGGAGTTAATGAGTGTTGTAATTTGAGAGCCTCATTGTTACCAAGTCAAATTCCTAGTTTGTCTCTGCAAACATGGCCAATAAAGCTGATTCAAGATTCAAGATTCAAGATTCAAGATTGGTTAGATTCGGCACTTGACTCACTTGTTTCGGCATTTGACTCACTTGACTTGGCACTTGACTCACTCGATTCACTTGATTCACTTGACACGGCACTTGATTCAGTTGACTCGCTTGACTCGGGACTTGACTCGCTTGACTCGGGACTTGACTCGCTTGACTCGGGATTGACTCGCTTGACTCGGGACTTGACTCGCTTGACTCGGGACTTGACTCGGGACTTGACTCACTTGACTCGGCGGCACTTGACTCACTTGATTCGGCAGCACTTGACTCACTTGATTCATTCGGCTCGGCACTTGACTCGGGACTTGATTCGGGGCTAGATTCACTTGACTTGGAACTTGACTCAGGGCTAGATTCACTTGACTCGGGATTCGATTCTTTCGAGTCGGCTGGCACGTGCTCAAACTCCAGTTCGGCCGGCGAAACCTCCGCTGTATCCGGATTAGCAAGTTCAACAAAACCAGTGCGGAATGAGTGAGAGAAACCAGCCGCAAACGAACCTCCTCGACGCAGGGACAAGAGCAGTTCCTCAGGATCTTCTCCTGCGGGGAGTTCAAAAGCCTCTCTGAATAGGGCAATAAATACCTCATAAGAAGGGAACGACATCCGACCTGGTTCCCAGAATGTACCGACCCACTCCAGAGCCTTTCCAGTGAGCAGTGAGCAGATGAAGGAAATGCGGTCGTCATCCGAGGTGTACAACTGGGGCTGAAGATTCGTATATACGCTGCACTGCTGAAGGAATCCTTCACACGCCACAGGTGAGCCATCAAACTTGTCAGGCAATGCCAGACTGAGATAGTCACACTGGGTTGCGGTGGAACAGGTGCAGCGGCAGTTCGGGCTTGATTAGCCGTTGTGCTTGAGCTCTGCGTAGACCAGGTTTGCACGGAGCTTGCTAGTTCCTCGAGGAGAGAAGTTAGTCTTGCCAGCTGAGAACGATGAGAGGCTAGCATGGAAGCTCGGGTCTTGACCACGGTGGAAAGATGCTGAAAGTCTGCTGGATCCATGTTTGGCGAAGTCTTCTGTAACGTACGGACAGAGGCGGTCGGATCCATATGCAGCACTTTATTATAACTTGAACATAAACGAGGCACACAAATAAACAAGGGCAATCCAATAACTCGTGGTGTAAACAGGCATAGGTCGAGGCAGGCAGCACAGGTTCGCAAACAGTCCAGGATACAGGCAGAGGTCGAGAGTCCAGGGAAACACGGAGAAACAGAACAGGGAATAACGCTCAGAAATGCACGCTTACAGTGTAACAAGACTTCGCTCCGGACAAAGGAGAAACACAGGTTTAAATCGGGAACTCAATAACCAATAATGAAACACAGCTGAACATAATAAAACATAATGAGTCCATGAGGAAAACATAACACAATGAATGAGTGCCCTCCAGTGGCTCTCGAGGGCACTACAGCTGCCGATCGTCACAGTTGTGCTAGTTATAACGATTTAGATAGAAGCTAGCGATGTCAGATTAATGTGTGGTGATAAGTAAGATATAATTAGCTATATAAACTACACAAAATGATAGTAAATAAAGATTCAAAACAGAAAGCAATACGGAGCTAACAGACGTAAACCTCTCAGCCGCAGGCAGACTAGAGCAATCCCAATTAAATTTTTTTATTAAAAATATCCTTGTAAGCATAACAAGTATTGCACATTGAAACTGTATTAATTATTTCTATATTAAAATATTCTCAAACATCAGCTCCTACAAGTGAGTATGTTTATTCATGGACATTTGAGTAAACATGATAATAGGAAAATTATTCCAGTAGCTTATTCACATGCTCATGTTACACGTAATAGGTATTTCGGTATTTCAAATCACATCCTAGTATCAAACATCAGCACCTAAAATAGAAATTGTGTACTGTTTTATGCCTATATTTGTGTGATAATAATTCTTGAAATGCAGAATTTCATTGTATACAAAAAAAGGTTTTGTAAACATGTCTACAAATAAAACTTTTTTTAATAATAATTGTACTTATTTCGCGTCACTTCCTGAGTATCAAACATCAGTGCCTACCAGTTAAAATGTTTATAATGTAATATAAGTTATTCTTCTAACAATAATACTTTGATTGTAATACAAAAATGAATTGTATGAACACATGCCATTGTTAGCTTCTAAGTAATATTTCGTAAATGTTTGTTTTTATTTCATTATATGTCCATATATCACAGCATCCCCTGTCACTACAAGCATTTCTTCAACTGGCCCTCAAACATCCACTGAAACACATTCTACAAGTGAGTACTGTTCATGGACAACTGTGTAAACTAATAGCTGTATTTTATAATTTTTTATTACCAATGAAGTTGTATTATGATAATTGTGTCAAACAGCATCTCCTACGAGATGTAATTTATATAGATAGACAATTATGACATTTCAGTTGAAAAAACTGTATTAACGCAGTTTACAGATGCTGTCATATTATCTTTTATTAAAAGTTTTTGCAAAACAGAATTTAATTTCATGCAGTAATGTCATTTTAAGTATGTCAACGAATATTACTTGCATAATGTTTCTATTCATACATCTAAATATTTTAGCACACCCTGCCACTACAAGCTCTACTTCAACTGACTCAGAAACATCAACTTTATCAAGTGAGTATTTTTATTCATGGACAACTGAGTAAACATGTTAATAGGAAAATTATTTCAGTAGTTCATTAATTTTAGTGTCAATGTGGTAAATGTTAATAATCATAACAATAACGACACTAGACTAGGAAGTGAACAACACACAATACTTAAAAAGCACCCAGCATGACACAGCATGATAATCAGAATCTAAACAAGACACAGGTGAACACAATCATTAACCAAGGGAACAAACTAACTGAGCTTAGACGTAACATTACCTCCCCTACCCCTGAGGTGGTTGGAAGGGAAGGTATAATCCATTCAGGTGGGAAGGAGGGCCAAGACACCCAGAGTCCATGGAGGGACCGGTGGAGAGAAAATAAACAAGGAGTGGCTGGCGGAGGAAGGAACCACGGAGCAGTAGGAGGAGGAGGCCTCTGCGACACCAGTGAATCCATTTCTCTTGATGATGCTGGATGGCTGAAGGTCCGCAGCGTTGCCCTCTGCATTTTTCACCAGGGCGGAGCCATGGGAACTGAAGACCAAAGTGGAGTTTGGTGGGCTTGATACCAAGGTGCAGATGGAGGGATAAAGGACCAAATCGACACCAAGCACAGGGGTCTAAAGTGGAACCAGAGGGTCAGAGGAGTGAGGCGGTGATGAAGGCTCAGAAGACAGAGCCAGTAGGAGCGAGGACAAAGGAGTCGTCGGATGGATGGAGCCAGCCGGAGCCAGAGGAGTGGGTGAAGCCAGAGAACCCAATGAAGTCAGCAGAGGAGGTGGAGCCAGAAAACTGAATTGAGGCTGCAGAGGGGGTGGAGCCACAGAGCTGGGTAGAACAAGCGAAGACGAACGAGCCATAGAGCCGTGTAGTACCGGTGGAGACGAAGGAGCCAGGCAGAACCAGCGGAAACGAAGGAGCAAGGGAGCCGGGCGGAACAAGCGGAGACAAAGGAGTTAATGGAGGAGGAAGGGCTTGGGAACAAGTAGGAACCGGCGAGTCCAATATTCCAACTGGACAATACAGTACAGACAATACAGGTCATTGAACAATCAGAGGGCTTAAACGCACACAGGATAAAGAGAAACTAAACAAGACAGGGGTGAAGACAATTTGTCACCAAGGGAATAAAGTAGACCCATGGGAAATCAGGAACTAACAAACTAAGTCATTGGAAAAGTAAACTGTTTTGACAAAATTATTTACTGTTTGTCATGTTCTTTTAATAGTAATTCTTGTAATACACAATGCTATTTTATTAATTAGACATATCCTTGTAAGCATAACAAGTATTGCACATTGAAACTGTATTAATTCTTTCTACATTAAAATATTCCAGCAGCCACTGCCACTACAATCTCTTCTTCAACTACTTCTCTAACATCAGCTCCTACAAGTGAGTATATTTATTCATGGACATTTGAGTAAACATGATAATAGGAAAATTAAACCAGTAGTTTATTCACATGCTCATGTTACACGTAATAGGTACTTCGGTATTTCAAATCACATCCTAGTATCAAACATCAGCACCTAAAATAAACAATGTGTACCGTTTTATGCCTATATTATATATTTGTGTGATAATAATTCTTGAAATGCAGAATTTCATTGTATACAAAAAAAAGCTTTTGTAAACATGTCTACAAATAAAACTTTTTTAATAATAATTGTACTTATTTCATGTCACTTCCTGAGTATCAAACATCAGCGCCTACCAGTTAAAATGTTTATAATGTAATATAAGTTATTCTTCTAACAATAATACTTTGATTGTAATACAAAAATGAATTATTTGAACATATGCCATTGTTAGCTTCTAAGCAATATTTCATATATGTTTGTTTTTATTTCATTATATGTCCATATATCACAGCATCCCCTGTCACTACAAGCATTTCTTCAACTGGCCCTCAAACATCCACTGAAACACATTCTACAAGTGAGTACTGTTCATGGACAACTGTGTAAACTAATAGCTGTATTTTATAAATTGTTATCACCAATGAAGTTGTATTATGATAATTGTGTCAAACAGCATCTCCTACGAGATGTAATTTATATAGATAGACAATTATGACATTTCAGTTGAAAAAAACGTCTCGGTTACGTATGTAACCCTCGTTACGTCGGATGACGGAGAATGGGGGTTTCGCCTAGAAAGCCAATTATCTTCGAGTATTATAAAACGAGCCAATGGCGATGAAATGCCATGGGTCTGCGGAATTTGCTAGGGATGCACCGAATCCAGATTTGTGGGGTTCGGCCGAATACCGAATCCACTGGTTAAGATTCTGCCGAATCGAAACCGAATACCGAATCCTACTCTCATCCTCAGTCCATTAACACAGTAAACACATTAATGATGTAAACAAAGTGGATTTTTCATTTTATTTTATTACTGTAAATAATAAACACTACTTTTACTTTTATAACTGTAAAAAAAAAAAAGAATAAGCAACATTATGCATTTTAACAGCAGCGATGTTGTGTAGCCTATAGAGTCCCTACCACCATGAGACAAATCGGCATTGCAAATTGAACATGTAGCTCGACTTGAATTGCCTTCTTTTCACTGAAAATACTGCCAAACAACACTTTTTCTGCTCACGAGTTCCATTTTCACTTTCTCACAGCCTACTGCATTCGAACGGTCCACCTTTTTCTTCCTGACACAACGCGTTACACTACAGGCTTGTTCAACTTGAACCGGCGCTGCACAGACAGATCAGTTTATGACATCAAAGTAGGCTACAGCGAGAGCAATTCAAAAGCATAAGGAGCCGTCTGCTCTCTATTCGTTCACGCGGTACTTTACTTTGATGTCATTCACTGATCGGTGACTTCGACGTAGCGCGCGTAGTGCAAGCCTAGGGTTCGGTTCGGTGGAAAAAAATTCTGAGGTTCGGCAGAAACCGAACCCCGTTAAAAATCCCAATATTCGGCCGAATCCGAATCCTGAATTCGGTGCATCCCTAGAATTTGCATAGCGTATCTCCGCCCCACCGCGTGGGTATATAAGGAGAGCGCGGACGCAAAGGCAGTATGTCTTCGCTGAGGAGCCGAGACTGAACTCAGGCGTCTACCCAGCGGTACAGCGGAAGTGGCAGGGAGACGTAACGTCTCCGTTCCCTACTCAGGGAACGAGGGTTACATAAGTAACCGAGATGTTCCCTTTCGTAGTCACTCCGAGTTACGTCGGATGACGGAGAATGGGGGTCCCCGTGTAATCACGCCACCTTCACAGCTGTCTTCCAGTGCCCTGCGAAATTCTGAACCCCCTGTCGTGACACTGGCACGGACGAAGGAGTCCTACTTAACACAGGAATACCAAGGTACACTGGGAAGCATATCTCAGGGGAAATATGCCGCAGCACGCCTACCCATAGGAAAGACTTAGGAATACGCATATGGCCCAAAGGGAGGCTACATATGGAGGAACACTGGAGTGACCAGCCCGAGGGGTGGCAACTTTCAACTCCAGGAGTGGCAAGGTGGCTTGCCGAGGGAAAGATACATGCTCAAAGAGGCTTACAGTGGAAATACACATGTGGGGGTTACTCAGGGTAGGAACCATGCACACGGAGGCACCTAGCCGACGCACAGTCAATAGACACTGGCGCCAGCGTCAACAGTGCTGGAGGAACTCAGGGCTTCTAAATGGAAGGCTCACCTGAGGAAATATCGCACGTATCCAGTCCGTGGAGTGGAATGGCGAGCAAGCGAAGACACCTGAGCGGGTCCAGTACTAGCTGACTGAAGCGAGTACACGAGAGGACACAGGCTCCACTCGGAGATTATAGAATCTGGCGAATGTGTTGGGTGTCGCCCAGCCTGCAGCTCTGCTCAGATACTTACCTTCAACTGCTTCGTGATATGCGGCAATAGCGGCCACATACACCTTCAGGGTGGAGGGAGACAGCCTTCGCTCCAACCCATCTTGCAGGAAGGAAAGCACGACACTGATCGAGCATCTCCTGGGGTCTTCTCGGTGAGAAGAGCACCAGTTGACGAAGAGGTTCCACTTCAACGCATAGGCATGTCCCGTGGACGATGCTTTAGCGGAAGTGATGGTAGCCGCCACCGCTGGTGGCAGGGTGCTCAAACCTGCCTCGTCCCATCCAGGAGCCACATGTGGAGGTTCCAAAGATCGGGACGAGGGTGCCATAGGGTGCCCCGTCTCTGAGAAAGGAGGTCCTTCCTCAGAGGAATTGGCCAAGGAGGTGCTGTCGCGAGGAGTATCAGTTCGGAGAACCAGGTCCGGGTGGGCCAGTACGGTGCAACCAGAATGACCTGCTCCTCGTATTCCTTGATCTTGCACAGGGTCCGTGGAGAAGGCTCACTGGGGGAAACGCATACTTGCGTAGGCCCTGCGGCCAGCTGTGCGCCAGTGCATCCGTGCCGAGCGTGCCCTCGGTCAGGGAGTAATACTGGGCACAGTGGGATGAGTCGTGGGAGGCAAACAGGTCTACCTGTGCGTCCCCGAACTGGTCCCAAATCAGCTGGACCGACTGGGGATGGAGTCGCCATTCGCCGGAGATGGGCCGAAACCGTGACAGCTCGTCGGCTGCAAAGTTCCGATCTCCCGGAATGTAAATAGCACAAAGGGACCTCAGGTGCTTCTGACTCCATAAGAGGAGGTGGCGTGCGAGTTGCGACATACTGCGGGAGCGTAGACCACCCTGACGGTTGATGTACGCTACTGTCGCCGTATTGTCTGAACGGACTAGTACGCGTTGACCCTTGAGCAACGCTCGAAAATGGTGCAGGGCAAGGCGTACTGCCAGCAACTCGAGGCAATTGACATGCAGAAGGCGCTAGGGTCCTGTCCAGGAGCCCGCGGCAGCATGTCCGTTACACATGGCGCCCCAGCCCCTGGAAGAGGCATCTGTGGAGACAACAACATGCCTGGAAACTCGTTCTAGGGGAACTCCGGCCCGTAGAAAACTGAGGTGCCTCCATGGGGTGAAGGTCTGACGGCAGGTCGGAGTCACGGGGACTCGGAACGTGCCATGATGCCATGCCCACCTCGGGACTCGATCGCGAAGCCACAGCTGAAGCAGTCTCATATGAAGCAATTCGAGTGGCGTTGCCGCGGCTGCAGATGCCATATGCCCCAGGAGCCTCTGAAACAATTTCAGTGGGACCGCACTCTTGCCTTCGAACTGTCGAAGACAAGTCAGCAGTGAGTGTGCGCGCTCGCTCGTAAGCTGCGCGGACATGGCGACCGAGTCGATCTCCATACCGAGAAAAGAGATCCTCTGCACGGGGCAGAGTTTGCTCTTCTCCCAGTTGACCCGAAGACCCAGACGGGCTAGGTGCCGGAGCACTAGGTCTCTGTGTTCGCAAAACTGATCTCGAGAGTGAGCTAATATTAGCCAGTCGTCGAGATAATTCAGGATGCGAACCCCGTGTTCGCGTAGGGGAACAAGGGCTGCCTCGACGACCTTCGTAAAGACGCGAGACAGAGCCAGCCCGAATGGGAGAACCGCGTACTGGTATGCCTGCCCCTCGAAAGCAAACCGAAGAAACGGTCTGTGTCGAGGTAAAATGGAGACATGAAAGTAGGCGTCCTTCAGGTCGATCGCTGCAAACCAATCCTGTGGCCGCACGCATTCGAAAATGCGTTTGGCCGTGAGCATCTTGAACGGCAGCCTGTGAAGGGAGCGGTTCAAGACGGGCAGGTCCAGGATTGGCCGTAACCCACCGGTTTTCTTGGGGAGAAAGAAGTACGGGCTGTAAAACCCGGACTTCATCTCGGCTGGAGGGACAGTCTCGATTGCACCCTTCGCCAACAGGGTGGCAACCTCCGCTCTCATGATAGGGGCATTGCCACCGACCATAGTAAAGCGGAATCCCCTGAAGCGGGGAGGAGACCGTGCGAACTGAATCGCATAGCCGAGCCTGATAGTTCGAGCGACCCAGCGGGACAGGTTGGGAAGCTCTAACCAAGCTCCCAGAAACTGAACCAGCGGGGTCATGTGAACCACAGACATCCCCCCGGAGGGGCAGCGGAGCGGAGTGACCGGCCCAGTTGTGGGTGGCATAGCGGCCCGGTGCGAGGGCGCGGTCATGCTCCGTGTCCTGACAGAGGAGACCAGGGAATGACCAGCGTTCCACGGGGGTCTGCTCTGCCAGGGGTCTGGCGACAGAGGGGGACAGGAGTGGCGAGGCCCGAGGGCGGCGCACACTGTGGTCCGAGAAATCTGTGACAGAGAGGGATGAGAGCGGCGAGGCCCGGGGGCGTCGCACACTGTCATCCTGCTCTGTGTGCTCAGTGATGGATGTATCGATTCTTTCTTTGACCACAATAGGGTGCTGCCCACCTCTGGGTGAGCAGCGGGGAGTGGAGAACAAAATATTCTCCCCCGGCCGGGGGAAGGAGGGGGCCTGCAACCGCCTCCTGGGAAAAAAACAATACCATCACTGAGCAGCCCGTCTCAGGAGTCCCGCTTAGCCTGGCGTTTAGTGGGGCGCGGGGCTGGAGAGGGCTGTGGCGCCTTCCTGCGGCTTCCTCCACGACGCGGCCTGGGTGAAGGCTGCTGCTGGGGCCGTGCGGGAGGGGACCTCTGCGGTGAGCAGGCTGAGGCGTCTGAACCGACGGCTGGGTGGAGGCAGCAGCGGGCCGTCAGGGCAGAATATGCTTAATCGCCTCAGACTGCTTCTGTGCGGTTGAGAACTGCTGAGCGAAGTCCTCAACCGCTCCACCGAAGAGGCCGGCCTGTGATATGGGGGCGTCGAGCAGACGAGTCCGCTCAACGTCCCGCATATCGGCCAGGTTCAGCCACAGGTGACGCTCCTGGACCACAGAGGTGGCCATCACCTGACCCAGGGAGCGTGAGGCCACTTTCGTCGCTCAGAGAGCGAGGTCAGTGGCGGCACGCAGCTCATCAAAGAGCCCGGGGTCAGTCCTGCCCTCGTGCATATCTCTGAGCAGCTGGG